TTCATACAACATTTTTTTTGTAATCTTAGCTGGTTTAATTGCCTGGATTATTGCTGCAATGCTAGGTTAATCCTCAAGTTATGCAACTGAAAATTACGTAAAAAAAAAAAAAAAACTAAAATACCGCGAATCATATCATCAAGCATCTGCACACCAACAAAATACACCTAAAGAGCCACTCAAGTGCCGGCTGGCGAGCTGGTAAAAAGCAAAGCCACAGTATCACTTTTGAGGCGAACAAGTTTTTCCAACCATAACGGGCTGGCTGTGTGTGTGTGTGTGTGGTGGTTTGTTGGTACGTACTGCATCTTGTATGTTGCAACTTGCAAGTGTGAAATAACAGTAAGAGGTGCAACATCCCACCCAGCAGCTGGCACGGCATGACGTGTTCGATTTCGGAAGTAAAGGCGATTTGGCAACAACAATGTGAGGATTACATGTGTAGGCATTTACAAATTTACGATTATATGTCTGCATATGTACGTACGTATGTACATTCCAATGCGTACATTATAAATAGCTATTTTGTTATTGCAATTTTGTTACTCGGTTTTGCTTCCACTTTCGTTTGTGGAAAATTTTATGACAAAAAATGTAAAAAAAAAACACAAAAGTCGACACGGAGGTGCAGCGTATAAGCAAATACCAAAAAATATTAATATTAGATTTGGTGGAAAAAAAAAACAATAAAAGAGTTCAGAAATTGGGGTCACCACCCTCCTGAAGTTGAATGTTTAGGTCAACATACTTCATTTGGTAGGCACATTAAAAAGAAAAAAATGCCTTTTGTAAGGCAACTGTCAAATCTGAAAACTATTATGAAAGCTTTTTTCTGTTTTTTGAAAGACTAATTGAAAGAACTACTAAGGAGGAGCGTTATTCTGGTTGTCTTTTAGCAATAATAAAAAAATATATTTTTATATATATATTTCTTTATAAAACAATGTAAACTAAAAATTGAATTAAAAAGATGAAGTTAAATTAATAAGATGAAAAAATAAATCAAATAAGTTTCTAAAAATTAAATTTTAAAGCAATAAAATTTAAAAGTTGAAAGAACCGTAAATTGAAAGAGAAAATAATAAAATAATGGCCTGAAAATTGAATGAAAAGTTAAATTTAATTGAGTTATAAAGAAAATTAAAAGGAAAACAAATTAAATCAGTTTTAAAAAATTACATGAAATAAAAAAACAATTTTCTTTTACAAACAATAAAAGCTAAAAATATTATGAAAATTAAAGTAAGAAAGAAAAAATACATACAATAAGTTTCTAACAATTAAATGAAATTAAAAAATATATATTTTTCTTTTTAAAACAATAAAAATTAAAATTAATAAAAATACAATTTGTTGAAAAGGAAAAAATAATAAAAAATTGGTAAATTCAAACAATTAAAAAATATATATTTTTGTTTTTAAAACAATAACACCTGAAAATTAAAAGAACAGTAAATAAAAAAAGAAAAAATAAGGCCTACTAATTTTGTAATGAAATAAAAAATCTTTATAAAAAATAAAATTTCAAAATTAAAAGATCAAATTATAAAACGAAAAAAATATCAAATAAAAGTTAAATGACATTAAAACAGCAACTTTTCTTTTAAAAACAATAAAATCTAAAAATTAGAAGAAATATAAATTAAAAAGAAAACGAACAAGAAATAAATGCTGTAAAAATTAACCGAAATTGAAAAATAATATATTTCTTTTTAAACATAAAATCTAAAAATCAATGAAATAAATTAAATTAAAAAAGAAAAAAAAATCTGACGCCCGAAGATTCCAAACTTGGATCACTGGAATGACCCGCCAGTGCTTTGCTCACTCGACCATTGCGGCTGTTGAAGCACCGCTAGCAGAATGATGTACAAGTTCTTTCAGTCAAAAGAGCTTTCACCATGGAATAATTCCCGAGTTCACAACTTTGGACGCCAGCGGTCAAGGGTAGTGTAAATTCTTAGTATCAGAACTGCAGTTATAGATTGGACCCTTTCCTTGGCAGTGATCAGCTAACTCCTGCCAACGGACACGCCTAGGACCAGATTTGAGTGAATTGTAATTATTTCGAACTCATTATGAGTAAGTCGTTTGCAATTTAAAAGTCTTGTATACAACAAAGTTTTGAAGAGTTGAACGAAAACACAAAGTTTAAGTTAAAATTTTATTTTTAATTTTGTTGTATATTTTCGGTAATAAGTTGATTATTTAACTATAACTGCTACTCTATATATTTTATTATCCAATCAGTTCGTAACATAAAATTGAATATAATTGCTACACTCATAACAATTTTCGAACTAAATATTTACGCTTTCTTAATTACGTTGAAGTGAGCGGTGTGTGACTCATTTTTAGTTAAATAATTTTCCAGATAACCTAAAGTTAGTGTTTAACTGTGTATTTATTTTGAAGTTGTTTTGTATCTTTTTAATTATTATTTTGTATTTCACTGCTCGCATTTTTTTCGGAAAAGTATGCCGTAACACACCAGCTTATCTACTTATTGGCATGCTCGACGACGTAGCGCACTCAAGTACGCGCATGCGCCCAACAAACATAAAACAGAAATGTTTGTACCCCGTAGGAAAGTTTATGCAGCTGTACTTCCTATGTCAAGTTGCAACTCCGTACTAAGATTTTTGGGTCTGAAAAACTCCAATAATAACAACCAATTGATTTTTTGCTATTTTTAATACTAATTTTTTGGGGATTTCGGGAGACCTATAAAAAATAGTTACTATTAAAAAATAATTAAATAAACAATTGTATATTATTTTTGGACGTCTCCTGAAGAGAAACAGACTTTCCGTTCGAAAAATATTGATTTTCACAATTCTATACCCTTTCTACGAAAAAGTGATTTTTTCCAGTGTAAAATATATGGAAAACTTTGTGGGCTCCGAGGCAGTTCTAAATATCATTTCTTTACAAAAAAACGCGGGCATTTTTTATTCCATTTAAAGAATCCAAGGTAATGTACACATTAAAAGCCTAACAAATTTCAAGATGTGTGCATTTATACGAAATATGCCATTTTTTGGGTGTAAATTAGGATTGTTTAGACTAAGTGGGACGTTTTTCCATATCGAAAATCTGACAACACTGCTCTAAATTGTAATTTCTGTTTACACTTTACCTTAAAATTTCAAATTTTATCTACCTCTTTTGACATTTTAGAGTCCAATATCTACAATTGTGGGTTTTGCTCTGGTGCTATTACCTGTTTAATGTGTTTGACTGATAAACGGCTCTATACTGTATCAGTGACAAATTCTTGTCACAGTTTTTTTTTTTACGGAAAAATAGATGAAAAAGTGTAGATTTGTCAGTTACAAAAGTTTTGTCACCGATACTGACTTGGGCTATAAGTCCCTATTTCTGTTGCACAAAATTTGTGACCTATTTAGATAGACAAATGAAATGTAATCGATAAATATGCCGGGTGATTTGGAAGAAAGGAGTTCTTAGCTTCCTAATTTCAATTAAACCCACATTTATGGCGTTTTCGTTTCTACAAGAAATGTTGCCTTCTCATCGCCCTCTTCTTAGTGTTTGGGCGTAGAGGGCAAAGAGAAGGTTGCATTTTTCGGTAGAAACGAAATCGGCATTATTTAACAAAAATAAATTGGAAATCCCCACATTTTACCTACTGGGTAGGTACTAGCTCACCCATGCTTGTGCCCAATGCGTTGTCTGTTGGCTAGGTCGTCTACGGCCACTCACTTTACGACTATTTATTTATTTAGTTTTATTTATGTAGCTTGTGGCGGCGTCATTATGACTGTGTTATTTTAAGTTATGTGCCTGCATTTGTGTCGCGTCTTACTTACGTACGTATGTATCAGATGAGGTTAAGTACTTGCATATGACATAACTGTAACTTGTACTTAATTCGTGAGATTATATATTTTTGCTGTTTTATTTTCATTCGTTCAGCAACAATGTTTGGAATGTCTTTGTAGATGAAAACTTTTAAGTAATAAGTAATAAGAAAATAATAAAAAAACAAATTTCAAGATGTACCGTCTCACTGTCGAGATATTCTTTTTTGAGTCGATAATCGATAACATTCCATATTTGATTTTTATAGGAAATTGAAAATCAATAAGGTCTTTAAAAGAAAATTTGATTAAACCGTCTCTGTGGCCGGATCATTCCGATGCATGTGAGAGCGAAGGTGATTATGACAGGCTAGGATGAATTCTCCTTACCCGTTTCGTCGTCGACTTCGTTACCTACGATCCCGCAGTGTTGTATTATACCTTCTTTGTTCCTTCCTGCCATGAGTTGGACATAACGATGCTCTCCAAGACAAGCGTATTGGATATGGCTTTTTGGTCGTCTGCCTATCTGAAAAGCTAGCTAGAAAGTCGTCTTTTAAGCCTTTTTCCAAGGTTAGATCCGACGCAAACTGATATTACTAGTACCTCGGCCTGAAAGATTTTGGACGAAATATCCATTGCAATAGAAAGCTTGATGCCAGATCCCAGGGCACCGACACTTGCTCTGACCCTAATTTTTGATCCGTCTGTGTACCAGTATACATTTCAGAGATCTAATTCAGGTAAGCCATTTGACCAGACCTCTCGGTTTGCAATTTTGATTTGGAATTTCCTTCTAACGCAGATTTCCTTTGCCTTAGCGTCGGAGACTTCGCATATTCGTACACCTCGTACCAAAAAACACGTTTTACGAAAAAATTTCGAAATGTCTTTGAAAAGGAAATTGTTTTCCGTTTTCGTGTTCATCGAAGAAAAATAAACCGCACAAAATTTAGAACGCATTCACTTGTTGAAGCCTTAAAATCAGCCTCATCCTTATATAGTTATCAATCAGTTATCGACACTGCTTATATGTTGATAAGTAAAGGGTTCCTGCCGTTTATTTTAAAATATCGAATAAAATGCGGGACAAACACAGGACACTTGAAAAAAATCAGTACCCTTTGAGGTTTTTTTTTTGTTTTGGAAAACTACGCAGGACATATCTTCGAATAACAGTATGGTCCTGCAAAGAACAGGACGGATGGTCACCGTAACTAAACATAATTATTATTTATGGCTCAAGTTTGGGTTCTTTCTTCTTTATAATATTTATGTATATTTTTTTTTGTTGTACCCACCAAAATGTGAAAAAGTCATATGGAGATAATCAGTTTTTCATTATCATTTGCTACGTCATGCGATAATGCGAGTTCTTGGACTGATAAGTAGTTACTTCGAGTGTGTGATGAAATACTAAGTACGTGCTAATGATGATTACATATTTGTTAAGTCATGTACATATTTAGTTTAGTGTTTCATACGCATGTTATGCTTCTGATAGTCTATTTTTTTCTTTCATAAACAATTTTGCTAAACTCTATACAAAGTATTATCTCTGCTAACGTACATATTTACGTATTTAACGCGCTTTATTGCAACTATTTATTTTATGAAATTAAATATTTAGACTAAAATTTGTATAGAAACATCATTTAGTGCCGTGAAAATTGATAATATTCATCAACATTATATGTGATTTTTAACTGCACGTCTATACCTGCTATGGGCACTCGCAAACGATACAGGACTTCTGTAGACCGTTCATCGCAAAAGCTTTGCGATCAAGTACCCGCCAAAAATGTATCTATCTTCGCTTGCGAGAATGCAGCTCGCATGCTAGCGCCCATAGCAGGTATAGACGCGCAGTAAAAAAGAAATTAAGCAAGGGTGCCAATTTTCTTAATACACAATATACACAATAACAATGCTTAAAAATTCAACATCTGAACATTCTGAAATTCTTGAAGTTTTCGAATTAGTTTCTAAATAAATGTTTCACTTGGTAGAAAGGAGGGAGCAGTGATCTTTTGCAAATATGGTCTAAATATGATGAAAGGCTTGGTGGAACGTATTTTTCTATAAGCTCTGCATCAACTTCTACATCGGTTTGGATTCAGATTGCTGTAGCTTTTTTCAAGTGACAGTCAAGTTTGTGACGTCAATAAGAGCATGGAGAATAGCCAAGCGGCAATCATTGCGCTGAGTTCGCTGATCTGATCAAAATTGTTTCTTGACTAACTACAATAATGCAGTTCAACGACCGCGAGATCATGGCTACTAGAAATTTAATTTAATTTCTTTAATTCACTTAATTCTTACCTTTTCCCAAGGCCAGGGCAGGAACTGAGATATAAAACCTAAACTGGCAAGGTGGATGTATGATGCCATCTCCAAACTCATCCTAACTTATGCTGCACTCGTCTGGTGAAAGAAGGCAGAAGTGAAGTCCACGCAGGCCCAGCTTAGTAAGCTACAACGACTGGCCTGGGTGGGCATCACTGGTGCGATGAAAACAACTCAGCTCTCGAGGCGCTTCTTGACCTGCCTCCTACGTAATCAAGAAAATATCTTCTCAGGGGACAATGTGTAGAACAAGAAGCCTTCCATAATCAGGGTTATATAACAAGAGGATGGGCTGCGCTTCAGCTTTGTGGGCCTGTGCCTTCGGAGATTTAAATTCACACAAAACTGTAAGGTCTTTTTCCCCGATAGAAACAAGTGGGACAACGAACGACCTAAACCTCAGAAGGACAACCATTTCTGGTATACTGACGGCTGCGAGTCAGACCACGGCGTCGGAGTAGGAGTTTATGGCATATAACCCAGATGGCCCCTTTTCAACAGCTTAGGGCAAGGTAACTCCGTATTTCAGGCCGAGGTGCACACCACTGAACTATGTCTGAGACGGCTTAATCGGAATCAACTGCAGTTGATCTGGACCAACGTTGCCATCTGTCTATACTTGTTGGGAGTATCTGACACTCAAAGTGGATCGGCGGTGGTCAAAGGTGATTCTTCTGTTTACAAAGCCCTCGCTTGGATAAACTAAATAACTCATCTGATTCGCAGTATGCTTGGGGATATTGAGGAGAAATTATTTCGAGGCTTCCACAGGGCNTCACTGGTGCGATGAAAACAACTCAGCTCTCGAGGCGCTTCTTGACCTGCCTCCTACGTAATCAAGAAAATATCTTCTCAGGGGACAATGTGTAGAACAAGAAGCCTTCCATAATCAGGGTTATATAACAAGAGGATGGGCTGCGCTTCAGCTTTGTGGGCCTGTGCCTTCGGAGATTTAAATTCACACAAAACTGTAAGGTCTTTTTCCCCGATAGAAACAAGTGGGACAACGAACGACCTAAACCTCAGAAGGACAGCCATTTCTGGTATACTGACGGCTGCGAGTCAGACCACGGCGTCGGAGTAGGAGTTTATGGCATATAACCCAGATGGCCCCTTTTCAACAGCTTAGGGCAAGGTAACTCCGTATTTCAGGCCGAGGTGCACACCACTGAACTATGTCTGAGACGGCTTAATCGGAATCAACTGCAGTTGATCTGGACCAACGTTGCCATCTGTCTATACTTGTTGGGAGTATCTGACACTCAAAGTGGATCGGCGGTGGTCAAAGGTGATTCTTCTGTTTACAAAGCCCTCGCTTGGATAAACTAAATAACTCATCTGATTCGTGAAGACTGAAGACTCTTGGCTCGCACTTTATAATTATAACCAGTTCTTTGTGATTAGCTCGTGGCGTTTCATCGATTAAGTAGTGGTATCTTTATCGAAACCTTACTTATCAAAAAATAGTTTAAGGCATTTTTAACTATACTTTATCCCTTAAAAATAATAAAGTTTTAAAGTAAACTTTTAATGGGGTTTCCACAATACTGGCCAGTAGAGTATAATCGAATTTATTGTTATTCCTCTTAGCATGCGTGGCGTATCTACATGGGCGTCTTTATGTAGCAGCGTGTTCTGCCTTTTCTAAAAAAAAAAGAACGGCTGCCCTCAATTTGTGTCACTTTCCCTTAAAACCGCAATTAACGAAAATAAATAATTTGTATACTTAATCGAATTGAATCAATACTTAACACCAATCTTTTCTTATTTTTTCTTTCTCATCTCTACTTCAGGCGATTACGACGTTAAGTAATCAATGATTCATTGAAATTCGACCAAAATTTCTGCTGGTTAAATAACCTATAGGTGGNCTTCAGGCGATTACGACGTTAAGTAATCAATGATTCATTGAAATTCGACCGAAATTTCTGCTGGTTAAATAACCTAGAGGTGGTTTTTTTTTTATTATTTTCTCTCTTATTTTACTTTTACAATATTTAATTTGAAGGAGTGAAAAACAAAACAAAGAAAATTTTCCCAAAAAAAGATGGAAAACAAAAATTCGAATGGCTGCAATGTTCATACGTTGTATGTATGTATGTATGTACATATGGATGTATGTATGTATGACCTCCTGAAGCTTTTTAAGATTTGCAAACAATTAATTTTTATAATCTCTTTTCACTCAGCTGGCAATTTTTGCTTTCAAAAGCGGAGTGGGCAATAAAGTGCTGGCAATTATTTTTCCTTGTTTTCTGGAAAACGTTTTTATTTTCTTCTTGTGCCATTTTTTCCGGGTTTTACTACTTACGTAATGGCGTTTCATAACTGTTTGTTACATTGGGTTTAAATACGACTGCGTACCTTCGACCTTATGTTAAGTTTTACTTCTATGGTGTATTATGGAACGATTTTCCGTCATCCCCTGTCAAATTTGGTTTGGAGGCAAACCGATTTCGGTGTTGTGCCATCTTCAGTTTGATTTTTCGTTCTCGGAACGAAACCAATCCAAATTTGACAAGGGATGACGGAAAATCGGTCCACAATACATCACCCACCCACCCTGTCGGAAACACAAACAACCAAAAAGAAGGACCAAGGAAGAAATGAGAAATGGAGAAATATACCATCTGAAAACAATTTGAAGTCGTAATCGTATTTTAATAGTATCATAACGAGATATGCTTTATAAAATAAGTTAGCAAAACAATAGGAAGAGTAATACTAATGAGATGGCAAGTTCTGTCCACTAAAGAAGATACGTAAGTAAATAGATCTATAAAAATATTTTTCGTATATTTTGCCTACCAAAAATAGGCCAGATAGGTGGTTGTCACTGCTACGCAGGGACACATATAGGCCACAAAATTAAGGCCCGTTGTGATACTCTATGAAATCATAGTAAGGCTCCTAGTTTTTTATGGAGACCAGACAAGTTCAAAAACTGAAGCGGATACAATGGGACGCTTAACATAGCAGCAAGGCTTATGGTCACTAGGACTGCGGAGTCGTTGAAAGGGGGCGCCGGTGACCTATTACTAGGCTAGGTATAAACTAGACTGTAGGGTCGGTGCAGACGTCTTTTGTAGTGAACTCTCAAACAACCTACAATTTGGGCTACCAGATCACAGTCGATGTGCTGCTGATTTGCGCGGCGTATACAAGGGAAGTAAAACTGTATCTACTCGCGTAGCCAAGCAGGAAACAGGGCTTTGGGCTCCCACACAGGCGCCCAAAGATTGCAGTAGTAGTAGTAGTACATGTGTTTAAGATAATTGAGTAGCGGATGAGTTGGTCAGGAAAGGCACCATTAAATTCGTTCTTCTATTGGAAAGAGAAGTCTTTTCTGAGCTCATCAAACGCTGGGCCAAAATCAAGGCATGTGGTACTTCACACTCATTCCGAACTTAGGTACACCGTATCCCTTCGGGGAACGACTGATAGGAGAACTCCTCTTTGGGCCTCCAAGATAACTCCAAAGTCACCTACACGAATGGCTTTAAACTAAATCTAAGAGTAGCGAGTGGGATGCACCTCTGTTTTAGGCTACCGGACCATTGCAGTGTCTTCCAAGCAGAGATTGTGGCCAAAAAGAGGCTGCACGACTGGACAAATTTGGCCTAGCATCAACAAGAAAACATCCGATGCACTCATTCGGCTAGAACGCTCTTACTAAGGCAGGTATTACGGGCCAATGCTTGAGGTGAGGGCATTCTAGCAGGATGGGTTTGCGGGTTAATTACTTATGCCCTAGTTGCCGCGCCGTGCACGAAATCGAGAGTGTAAAATACTATCTCTGTCACTTCCCTGCTCTTTCGTGGGCGAGAATACGCTCACTTCAACACCACTTCTTCATTTGTCTGGCCGGCCTAACTGAAGGAGACCACGAATTATCGCGTTTTCTGAACCTAACCAACTGGTTCTACTTTCACGTGAACGCACCGGTTCGAATTCGAGATGTCAACTGGTATCACAACGAGCCCACAACCTAACTGACTCTTATGTAGAAGATGCTTAAGTGTCTAAGTAAAAAAACTAGTGTTGCAAACGGTGTATGGGAGGGACATTGCAATCGGTATAGAGTACATCTGGTATCATGAGATCAATCAGAGCATAATTCTGGGCTCCGTGTATGTATCTGTTAAAGTATGTATATCCACGAGCATATCTATTTACTAACTGGAAACCTCTCATATTTACCAAATATATCATTTATCCACCAATAATTTTATTGACAGCAAAAGTAATATCCTCTTTTCACTTCTTTTTCAGCGCTCTCAGTCGTCTTCCTTTCACAAAAGTTTGCGCATGCGGCCAGCATCGACACAGATGATGACTATGAACCGCGCCATTTGACCAACGACCAATGTAAGTTACGATGTTCCTAGCTAAACAGAACATCGATAATATTTAGTTAAGCACAAAGTTTGGATTCATATCTACTTTTAAGGCAGCGTCTTTTTTTCAGTCGCAATCGGACTCACCATTCTCACAAGACGTCCCGAGGGCTGAATATATTAGACGAGTAGGACGCTTGGATACCAACAAATGGAAACAAACCAATCGCTTGAAGATTAGCACTGACTCAAGTTCTTCGGACTCTGCTTCCGAGTCAGAATCTGAGAGCCGTGATGTCAACTCAGACTACGATGACGACGATGATGATGGCGATGAGTACTACGAAGACAGCAGCGAGGAGAGCAGCACCGACAGTAGCAGCAGTGAGTCAGCGCCACGTTTATTATCGCAGTCAGCCTTCAATCGCATTTCGGAGACATTGGGTGCATTGAACACTATGGGTCACCTGCTGGTGGACATAACGCGCGGTGGCCATGAACAAAAGCCAGAAACAGCAGAAGCGTCGGCGGCGAGTGAGGTCGGTGGTAGCAGTTTGGGTGAGTCTGGTACTAGCGTCGTGAGCACCAGAAGTCCTACGAGTACTACAACGACAACGACAGCAGCACCGTCTAGAAAATTCAATGACATCGGTCCAACAGCAAAGATTATAGCGCCACTGCCACATCAAAGTAATTCGATTACAGAGCAAAAGGTGACGGGATTGCTGACGGCGGATAGGCGTGTCGATGAGCCACTCACGCCTGTGAAGCCAATGTTTGTCGAAACCAAGGAGACGAAGAAGAAGAAAAAGAAGAAGAAGAACCGAAACAAGGTTAAAAAACCAGCGACAGCAGACTCAGCAACCGGACAATCGCAACAACTAAACAAAGCGCCCACCACGCTGAGACCCACCTCGATCGCGCCGCCAACCACCAGCACCCACATTGCAAGCGATCGCGTCGACCAAGTGGCAGTCCCCACTGAAGACATATCGGCCAAAGATGTGGAGAACTATTGCAAAACACCCAGCGGACGTCCAGGTCGCTGCGAAGATTTAAGCAGCTGTCCAGCTTTGCTGCTAAATTTAAGTAGCCTACGCGAGTCGCTCTGCTTTAAGAGCCTATTTGTGCCAGGTGTTTGCTGCCCATTGCCGGAATCCTCAACAGTATTGACAACGCAACGCCCACTCAAGCTGAGCACAAAAGCACCGACCACGGCGCTTACAACGAAGCGGCCCACAACACAACGTCCATCGTCCTCACCGAGTTTGGTGCTGATACCACAACTCAAGCCTTCAACAACAACCACAACAACGAGCACACCAAATCCGCTGGGAAATGAACTTGAACTCATAGGCAACAACAATATTATTGATCCAGAAGAGTGCGGCCAACAGGAATACTCGTCGGGACGCATTGTGGGTGGCGTTGAAGCGCCGAATGGGCAATGGCCGTGGATGGCGGCGATCTTCTTGCATGGTCCCAAACGTACTGAATTCTGGTGTGGCGGCTCACTCGTCGGCACGAAGTACATTTTGACGGCGGCGCATTGCACGCGGGATTCCCGACAGAAACCGTAAGAAAGAATGTGAGATTATTTGGTTTGAAATATCTCTGATTACAAGCTTTATTTTACAGCTTTGCAGCGCGACAATTCACTGTGCGATTGGGCGATATCGACTTGTCAACCGATGCGGAGCCCTCAGCGCCGGTCACCTTTGCTGTGAAGGAAGTGCGTGCGCATGAACGGTAAAGATTTTAAAGGTTTAAAAAAATTATTTTCGCTAAACTTTGTTCTCTCTTCGTTCGTTAGTTTCTCACGCATTGGCTTCTACAACGACATCGCTATTTTGGTGCTTGACAAGCCGGTGCGTAAGTCGAAATACGTCATACCGATTTGTTTGCCGCGTGCCGGACGTGCGCCGCCCAAGGAACGCTTGCCCGGCCGACGTGCAACTGTGGTTGGTTGGGGCACAACCTACTATGGGGGCAAGGAATCCACGACGCAACGGCAGGCAGAGTTGCCTATTTGGCGCAATGAAGACTGCGATCGTTCGTATTTCCAGCCCATCAACGAGAACTTTGTGTGTGCCGGCTACTCGGACGGTGGCGTGGATGCGTGTCAGGTAACCTCTTTTGTGCTCTTGCCTTGAAATATTACTAATTGAGGATTACATTTTTTCACAGGGCGACTCGGGTGGTCCACTTATGATGCGTTTTGACTCGCGTTGGGTACAACTCGGCGTAGTGTCGTTTGGCAACAAATGCGGTGAGCCTGGCTACCCTGGCGTTTACACGAGGGTTTCGCAGTACTTGGATTGGATACGGGACCATACGCGTGACTAAAGCGACACAGTGTTTACTTATTAAAGATGTTAATTTAGTTCTAAACGGTTTCTACATATTTAATTTAAACAATGTTACGAATCACTAGTCTACATAATTTTTTATGTGCGTCGCGTATTTAGTCTCGATATTTATTAACATTTCCGAAAACCATTGTAGTTTGTACATACATAATGCATAAATTATTGACAAGTTAATATACGATAATGTTAAAATTACTTAGAGTTATCGACATTATCTTCTTTATTGATTTTCGAAAATCAAGTTTAGATTCAGAGTTAGTCTGAGAGTTTTTAAGCATCTCAAATTTCGGATAGAATATGGTAGCAACTAATGCGCCAGTAGTCGTTTTGGATCCATCTCTATATATGCAGCGATCGTATCGAACGAGCTTCTTCAACCCGTGCTGCTTTCTTTTTTTATGTGGCCTACTCTCTGTCGGTTCTTCCATGTTCAGTGTTAAGGCGACGAAATTTTCCCTCAACTCCTTTGCAAATAAGCCAATCAGTTCCAGGCTTCGAATCTTGCCCGTGCTGCACTTTGAGTGGTCTAAAGTTCTCCAGTTTTACATAAGCAGGATTGTCTCTGTCCACTCTTGACATTTGTAATGCACCCATTTGCACAAGAATAGGTCAAAATAGAACATTATGACTGCTCGTAAATGTCCAAATTTTTGAGCCGTACAGGACTTTTTTTTTTTTTTTTGCTGCGAGCTTTTAGAATGAATAGCTTTCCTGAGCTTTTCTTCAACATTCCTGCTTATCAGCTTATTTTCTTAAACTCGTATTCCGCTGGCTTGAGCATGTTGCACGAATGGATGACGTGGCTATAGTGAAAAGATCCTTCGACTCGGCACCCGTAGAAAGGCAACGAAAGAAGGCGCGCCCACTAAGACAATGGCAATACCAACCAACCAACGCAAAGGAGAGAAGCAATTGAGGTAGTGTTTTGGTTTCGGCCCAAATAGACGGACAGTGGTGGACAGTGGACTTACAATGGAGTTATGTTCTTGTTCTTATTTTTAAATTTCATTTGGTTACTATGCAAAGGATATTTTATTAAAGCAGATCACAACAAATTTTGCTGTCGGACTCAATTAGACTGATATCTTGAGATTTTTTTTTTGTGGACTCTAAAGGATTTATGCTCTCGATGTGCGTTATGAATTTATGAAATCCGGTAGTCTTCTATATTTTTTTTTCGAGTCAACCAATACAAATGGTAGCAAGCTTGGTTTTTTGTTGAATATATTTTGCAGTCAATGGTGACAGTTCACCTTATAACAACTCCTCGGCACTCTCTCTTCTGTATAGAAGAAATAACTACGTAATGAATATAATTTTTACAGCGCTAATAATACATAAATTAGGTGTCAGCAAAAACCATACAGTAAATTTCATCCGATATTTTGAAAATATTTTATTTTATTTAAATTTTATTAATTTTTAAAATTGAAATTTTGATGACAATTTAACAATTTTATTGATAATTACAAAATTGGAAACTTAGAGTTTTTATTAAAAATTTGAAAATTTAAATACAACATAATATTTTCAAATATTTTCACTATAGATACATATGTATGTACAGACATATGTAGTCTTGATTACTGCAAGCTTTACTGGGGAGATCCTATGCGATCCAGTTGCATTGCCTTTACTATTTATAAATAAATATATGTATGTACGTATGCAATGAAACTTTGATAAAACGAAAAACACAATATAACAAACTTTTTGCTGATTCTCGTAAAAATCCCCGTTTTTACAAAATTTTCCCTACAAAAATGCTCCACAGGTATAACAAAGAAATTTTGTCATGAGAACCTTCGGAACATATCGACTATTAAAGTCCCCTTAGCAATAGACTCTACATAGCGAAATGTCGCCTCAAAAGCCTCTTCATAACGAATTCTGAATATGTTGACGGTTAGAGTCCCCTAAAAAAAAAAAAAAAATTATGCTCATAAAGATTTTTTTTTTTTTTAATTTTTCTTTGCATCGAGGTTTTGACATTCCATAAATATAACGAAATTATAGATATAACGCGGCATTTTTTAAACCCTTCAGGTTCGTTCTATCGAGATTCCACATCACTTGCTTGGAGCAGGGACAATAAGAGCAACAAGATTAAAATAAATATATGCGTACAAATAAAAAGAATAAATCCCAAAGAGTTCAAATTCTTCAACATCAAACGAAATACAATCTGCGATTTGTTTAAATTCGTAATTTCACTGTGCCAATTTTTGCTGTGGCTCCATTTACATTTTGTATAGCATATATGTAGATGTACATACGTATACATAAATACATTTAACAAAAAATATCCACTTGCTTAACATCCAGCAGCGGTCGTTAGCTCTAGAAGTTTAAGCAAAAAAAAACATAAAATTTGCAACACCGGTATAAATTAAGCTAATTGAATTGCATACATAGAATAGTACATACAAAAATTCTCGCATGTCATGGAGGAAAAAGTCCCTTTGAATTGTCAAGATCAATCAACACCAGCAATTAGATAGGGAAAATACCAGCGGCAAAACTAAATAAAAAAACGCAGAGAATCACACAAAAACCAATGTTTAAAAAGAAATGAACAATGCAAAAAAAAAACAAGAACAAGCTTGCCGGTATTGGCAACTGGTTGGCGGCAGAGTTGCCAAAGACACACATAAGGCGAATTTACATGGGATTTATGACTTTATATCAGGCGTGAAAAAGTTAAAATAAAGGAAGGTTTCCATTATGAGTAACATAATTTAAATCAGCATTTAATAATTATTTTATGATTTGTATTCTTTTCGCTTGAAAATAATAATTATTATCGAGTTTTATTTTTTCGATAAACGGAAATAATTATTTTTTGATTTTTATTTTTTCACTCAGAGATATTAGTTACCTATACAGGTAAAAAAAAAATATTATGCATATTAAACCCAACCAATATATATCCCCATGTTATTTGATACGCTGAACGTATATCCGAGGCCCGTTAGCCCCCATCATGTCAGGTTCGTGGTCAGTTCAAGGTCAAATATGGAAAAATTCGTTTTAATTCGAAAGAAAATAAGAGCAAAAGGCAGACCACGCTCATATTTTCTAATTTTTTAGTTGCTTGCATACAATAATTAAAAATATTTTTTTACCAAAGGTCCAAATGCGAGCTTCGAAGGCCCGTTTATCGATTTCGGAGGCTAACTCTTTATCTCTTAAAAAAGTTGGTTTGGTCCAATACCCAGCAAAGTGCTATACAGAGTTTAAAAAAATGCTTTTCTTTTTAAAACAATATAATCCAAATTTTTTTTACATTTAAATTAGTTACAGATGAAATGGAAAAAAATTACATAAGTATGAAAAATTAAAAAAAAAGAAAAAATTAGGTCGGTTCTTATAAATTAAATGTAATTAAGAAAAAAAAATATATTGTTTTAATAAAATCTAAAAATTAAAAATTTTTACATTAAAAAAAAAATAAAATTAAAAAAGAAAAAAAAATAGTATAAGATAAAAATTAAATGAAATTAAAAAAATATATTTTTCTTTTTAAAACAAAAAAATATAAAAATTAAAAGAAAATCAATTTTAAAAAGAAATTATATTTTAATAAAAAAAAAAATAAGTTTCAAAAAATTCGATATAGTTAATTATAAATGTTTTTTTTTTCTTTTTAAAAGAACCAAATATATAAAATCTACATTAAAAAAGGAAAAAATACAATACAAAAATTAAATTAAAATTTAGTTAATAAAAAGGAAAAAATTTCGCTGCTCTAGGATTCGAATCACGGTCTCTGAAACTTGTACTTTATTACACTAAAATGGAAGTGGCTACAAAACGGCATAACAGAAAATTCTCTAAAGATATTATAAACCTATGCATTGCAGGTCATTAGGATAGCGCACCTCTTTGTTGGCATTTTTTTTTTAAATATTTTAAATTTTAAAATGGGATTTACATGTAGAATATACTATACTTTTATACAAAAATTAATGAATATTAAATAAACAAAAAGAAAACTGTAAATGCTAAAAATAAAAAGGGGACGCTATTAAAATGGAGAGGAATGTATGTATGTACTTAAGTCCAAGAATACAATTTATTAAGCGAAAATTAGGAATAGTTTTTTTTTTGTGCTGTGGCTACCCTGCCAGCAACAGCTGCTTGCTCCGCTAGTGCGCCAACAGTGCCGCCCTTTAGTAGCTAGCAGCCCCACAAAGCTGCCGGTCGAACGTAATACCGGCAGAATAAAACGCTCTCATACGCTCAGCGGCTGCCGGTCGCGCGATTTACTTTCATGACTTATCGCTTCTTTCTAATTTATTAATTAAAGAGATATTTCTTTTTAATGACAAAGGGGAGCGGGAAAGCCAGAAGTGAACGCATAAAATCTGGAACCAGAAGCCAATAGTCCGTGCACATAAATCACCTTGAAATAAAAAATGTGAGTGTAAAGAAGTAAAAAATTTATACAAAATATTGCAGAGAAAGCCAAATGGACTTGAGGTGACAGTGAATGGTAGACAGTGTGTTTACGTCACAGTGTAAGTTGTTGTGAAATATGTATGTATGTATGTAGGCATTGAACGCCTGCGATTGTTGTTGGATGTAAACAAAAATTTTCCAAAGAATAAATCGATATACCTACCCGGGAATGGAAACACGTTGTGCAATGTAAATGTGTGATTCTATTCTATCTACATATCTCAAGGTGCGCTGCAATCGTACAAACGCACGCACACGTATGCATATACGAGTATGTACACATGCACATAAGTACGCACATGATTATTTTCACATTGAATCATTCGCGTGCTCCCAGTTTTGTTTTTGTTATCTGTAGCCCCTTGGCCCACAAACCAAAAGTTTGCCGGTTCCATAAATTCAAGTTCAAAGTGCTTGTGTGTGTGTGTGTGTAAATGTGTTGCGTTGACTAGAGAATTTCCACTTTCTCTGAGCATGAGAATGCATTAATGTCAAATTGATAACAGCTTGTCAGTGGGTAAGAAGATATTTAGGTACATACTTCCATATATATTTACTTGTTGGCATGACAACGCTAGTTTAAAACTAAATATGCTCAAAATATGTTCATATGTACGTAAGTATGTGATGAAAAAATTTTATAATGCTCCGACGTAGTAAAAGAATTTTGTTCAGTGTCTAAATACAACTCTGTGTTAGTGTTTCATATTCTGGACATGAGATGGCGCTATTTATTTTAAACGTCGCTAATGGGCTACAGAGGGCGCGCGCTGCTGTGCCAGAATACGAGAGTAGCCTGATAAGTTTCTA